GGGACCTCAGAACCCTCTTGCTGATGAGACTGTGCGATGTTGCAGTAATTTGGAAAGTAGGCCGTTCCTCCGATGATTAAACACACAGCTACCATAGGACCAGCAGCCCCTCTAGGTCTGCCCCCAAGAGAAATGCAGACATGTCCACACAGAAACTTGTACAGAAGTGTTCACAGCCACGTCATTTATAATAGCAAAAGCGTAGAAATAAGCCACGTACCCGTCAGTGGGTGAAGGGATAAACAGTGGTCTACCCGTGGGAGGGAGCAGTGCGTGGCCATGAAGAGGACAGATACAGACCACACATGGGTGAGTCTTGGACATGCTGTGCTCAGTGAAATAAGCCACAGAAGACCACAGGCTATATGATTTTACTCATGGAAATCCAAAAGACTAAAATCTGTGGAGGCAAAAAGTAAGTTATTGGGTGCTCAAGGTGGGGGTGATAAAGTACCAAGAGATGCCAGGGTGACAGCTAAAAGAAAAAAAAGTTTTGAAGTGATATAAGTTTCTAAAGTTGGCTGTCGTAATGGCTGCATGTATCTGTGAACACACCCAACACGCTGAGAGGGGTAAGTGTGTGGTGTGTGGACTGTAGCTCAATAAAACCATTCCGAAACAGTTCCTCAATAATCTAACATTTTACAGAAGACAACGGAGCGATGCTTTCAGAACACAGAACACCGATGACTTTATCTTTGATGTGTCCATGCACGTATTTCTTTTGGAACCTGAAATTCCATGACAGAGGTGAATTTTAGCATGTGCTTTGAGTAGCTCATTATTCAGAGTATTGAATATAAATAAGGAAGATAAGGGGAAGAAGATCTTTGAACTTTAAAATTAGGGCAGTTTAAGAATAGACTATCTCTTGGTGACTTCCTGTTCAGAAACCCAGTTCATGATTATTATCTTAACCACAGTCATCAATGTGTCGCTCTAATCACCAACCGATCCACAATCTGCCTTTCTAGAAAAGTGGCTTACAATTTTTGTCTTCATAGGAAGTGCCCGAAAGCTGGAGTTAAGGATCAGATTATTCTGTAGAAATGTCCTGCTTGATCACTGGATACATCAAAGTGACTCTGTTTTCTGGCTGACACGAATATTAAAGCCATGGCCAATGGTGAATCAGGCACGGTTACTGTATATCATTTTCGGGCCAACCTCGCCTCAGGATGGTGAGCACCTGTTTGTCAGGGATGTGTATCATATAACTGGTTGGTTTCGTGATTGCTAATAACTAAGCTGTGTTTTATGATTTCGTAGGTACATGCTACACTAACTTGTAGAAAACTAAGCTTTAAGCAGAAATTGTTCTGCTGTAAGTCACTGCCAAATATATTCGTCATCCTGCTTTGCCTGAAGTAGCTGCTTTTCAGTGTTAAACATTCCCTTTTCTCTCTTTCTTTCTTTCTTTCTTCCTATTTTTTTTTTTTTTTGAGACAAGATCTCGATATGTAGCCCAGGCTGGCCTCAAACTTGTGGTGATCCTCCTGCTTCAGCCACCTGAGTGCTGGGAAGGCAAATGTGTGTCACCGCACCTGGCTCAGTCATAAACGTTCTCTTGTCTCAAGGTTATATTTGCTCCTGGAGGGACTAAGAATGCTAAGAAGCAGAGTAGTGGTCAGAGCAGATGCTTTCCTTAATCTGATTTTTTCCACACTTTTGTATTAATATACATTAGTTATATAGACTAATGGATTTAATCTTGACAGATTTAGCTGGGCATGGTGATGCACACCTGTAATTCCAGTGCTCTGGGAGTCTGAGGCAGGAATTGCAAGTTTGAGCCCAGCCTGGGCAATCTGGCAACTTGGTGAGACGTTGTTTTAAAATGAAACATAAAGTAGGGTGGAAATGTATCTCAGTATGAAGGCCCTGGCTTCAATCCCCAGGATCGAAAAAAAAATCTGAATGTGAAAATTTTACTGTTTAAGTGTATGAAAAATAGGAGTTCTTAGTTTGTTTGACTGACCGTTTTTGCAGCACTGGAGATCAAACCCAGGGCCTTCGCACTGAGCTACATCTCCATCTCATTTTTATGTTTTATTTTGAGACATGTCTTGCTAAGCCAATGAATTGCCCAAACTGGATTCAAGCTCACAGTCCTCCTATCTCAGCCTCCCAGAGCCTTAGGTTTACATGCATTCATCACCAAACCCAGCTGGGATGTAAGCAGTTAAAAGTAGGTTGGGTAGCAGCAGAGAGTCGTCTGGGATTAAAGTTTTATTGGATAGCTAGGTATAGGGTCACATGACTGTAATCCAAACTACTCAGGAAGCTGAGGCATGACGATTGCTCAGAACCCAGCCCAGGCAACACAATGAGACCCTGTCTCAAAAAAAAAAAAAAAAGTGGCGCACGCCTGTAATTCCAGCACTCGAGAGGCCAAGGCAAGAGGACCATTGCGAGTTTGAGACCAGCCTGGGCTACAAAGTGAGCTCAAGGCCAGCCTGAACTGCAGAGTGAGACCCTGTCTCAAAAAGACAAAAAAAAAGAAAAAATTCTATATGTTACACAGAGAATAAGCCATAAGCAAATAATCCAAAATTGACTGACTTGCTGTTTTCATATAAATGTTTGAAAGATTCTCAGATGCAGCCTGCTCTTTTTTCAGGGGAGGATGTCGGTAGATTTCATTTTGTTTTAATAAGAGTATAGCAACAGCTCGTTCCAATTTCTGTTATGAGGTAAAATCATTTTTGAACCAAAAGTACCATGCTGTGTAGTAAAACTACCCTTTTTTTTTGCTTTGTTTAGCTATCATTTTTGTGTTTCATCAGAGCAGTAAGAAACATTTAAAGTTAAATCAGGTGTGGTGGTACATGCCTGCAATCCCAGCACTCTGGAGGCTGAAACAGGAGGATCACCATAAAGTGATGGAGGCCAGCCTGGGCTACGTAAGTGAGTTCAAGGCCAGCCTGCACTACATAGTGAGACCCTGTAGCAATAAATAAATAAACAAATAAATAAAAACATATCATTATTAGAAGTGATACTTTATTTTTGTCTTTTTGAGACAGGGTCTCTCTATGTAGTGCAGGCTGGCCTTGAGCTCACTTGGTAGCCCAGGCTGGTCTCAAACTTGCAACCGTCCTCCTGCCTCAGCCTCAGCCTCCTGAGTGCTAGAATTACAGGCATGTGCCACCACACCCGGCCACTCCTCCTCTTCCTTACAGTACTGGAGATTGAATCCAGGGCCACATACTAGGCAAATGCTCCAGCTTTGAGCTTTATCCCCAGCCCTTTTAAAAAATACTTTATTTTGTGACAGGATCTTGCTAAATTCCCTAAGCCTACCTCAGATTTAGCAGTCCTCCTGCCTCAGCCTCCCATGAAGTAAAAAGACCAATAAAAGTGATTAGATCCATGTGTACCACCAATAGTACAAGCTGCTTGATGGGACCGTCACATGTCTACCAGCAGTGGTTCGAACTGCAGGAATGTGTTAATCCCTGAAGTCTTTATCACAAAGCGAACTATTGCATTACAGCCTTGTTTTTGTCTCAATTCAGGACTGGTGGCTTGGCATACAATGACAGAAGGCCCTACAGACGAACCCAGTCTGAAAGATTTGGCTGATGCTATTAAATTACTGTATGACACAGGTACCAAAGAGTGGACAGCAGACGATATTATCAGCCTTATAGACGAACTGTCAGGTAAAATATGGATTTGTTAATAGAGAGTAGTAAAGAGTCACTGTTAGGCTATGGTTATAAAGTGTAAGCCTTGTTCTACAGGTAGCAAGTGATGTGCTTGTCAGAAATCACTGACTGCTCCAAAATACTTCGGACTTAGCAGTAGGTTAGAGGAGAACACATGCGCAACTTTATTTCAGAAATATACATTTATTATTATTATTATGCAAAGCTTTATAGGTTTTCTGTTTTGGTTTTTTTGAGACAGGGCCTTGCTATGTAGTCTGCCCTTGAACTCACTTTGTAGCCCAGGCTGGTCTCAGACTCATAGCAACCCTCCTGCCTCAGCCTCCCGAGTGCTGGGATTATAGGTGTGCGTCACCACGTCCAGTTGAAAACTTTATAGTTTAATTAGCTCCCTTATTCTTATTTCACAAGTCCTTGGAAACACCCTTCTAGGTTAGGAAGTCCCCTGCTGCTGGCATGGGACAGCTGAGCCAGCTTTCCCAGGCCTGCAGAGCACTGTAGGTACAGGGCTCTGTCCTTACACGAGGTCAGACGCCCCGCCTGCGACACACGTGCAGGGGAAACACTGTGACCGTGTCACTGCTCCATTTGCGGAGCCACCGCCACCTGCCAACAGCCTCTGTCTCTGGCCAAGTGCAGTAACTGAAGAACTAAAGCTATTCTCTGGAGGGTTTCGCTCACACTCTGTATTCCCAGGAGAGCAGACTGATACTGCACGGAGGTCAGGGGCTATGGCATGATTTCCCACGAGTAACTGCTCCCCTCTCCTCCAAGTGGTTCCCCGGGAGTGGTTGCTGGAGAACAATGCGCACCTCCTGATCCTCAGCGGGAACAACATCTGCTTCACGTTCATGGCCAGCAAGGCTGTGAACGGCCGGACCCTGGAGCTGGCGCGGCTCGTCGTCTTCCTGGCGCTGGTGAGTGGAAGCAAAGGTTTTCTGCTCGCCGCTTACAATCCACCAAATTGCAAGGCCGGGGTGCACCACTGCAGGGGAGACGGCCGGTGTGCAGGACGCCTGGGCTGTGTCCCAGCTTCATGAAAATAAATACTCAAAGCATTACAATAGATGTGGGACCAAGGGGCGGGGGCTCGGGGGGAAGCATCTGCCCACTGCCCATGAGCCAGGGTTTTATCCTCAGCACTGCAAAAATAAAAAGCAAAATAAAATATACATAATAAATAATAATATTTGGAATCACATCTAGCTTGTCATCATATAGCTCTGCCAAGTTAGCTTTTAAAAATTCCTTCTTTTTAGTGCTCAGGATGGACTCAGGGCCTGGCCCAGCCAGGTGAGTGCTCTGTCACTGAGCAATCCCCTCACCTAAAACTCTGTTTTGAAGAAAGTACCTTTTTGATTTGCTTCCAAATAGCCAGTGTGGGCTGGGTATGGTGGGGCACACCTGCAAT